TTCTTTTATTTCACCCATCGCTCGAACATTTAATACCAAGTCGATGTACTTCAAGTTTCTTCAACCTTCTTCAAGAAAATAATCAGAATTAATCTCGTTTAGAATTACCGGCACGCGTTATTTGCGTGTGGTCCTAGGGTCACAAAGATCATGAAAAGCACGCGAGATTTCGGTCCACTTGAAGGACCCTCGAGCTCGCAAGACGAGAACGAAGAAATAAGCGACACCCGAACTGTACGAACCACAGGAACGACAGTGTGGTTGGTCCGAGTCAAAGGAGTGATGGGCACACCCACGCAATGTACGTGTTAGTGGACAGATATGGATATAATAAAAGGATAACGCTGTACTGAGTGAATACTCATGGGAAAGTTGAGACGCGTAATATCCACCGTACGATTTCGACGACGTATCCCTTTGTGCAGTTTCGTTTTGCTTCGTTTATCGTACGAATATCTTGCGAACATTCTTTCCCTGTAATGGATGCGAACTTGAAATGTCGCAATTCGAAAAGTGGACACAAAGTTTAACAATCCTTTATCGCCTATTCTTTTTGCAGATTATGATTGAAGTATACTGTTTTGAAATAAAATATTGTTTTAATCTCTTCCTGTACTTTGACGAGTCTCACTCGTGACGCACTTACAGCTCAAATCTGACAAATCATACTCAAACTTTGAACATTCTTCAACTTGAAATTTAGATCCAACTATAAGTTGCATTATCAAGGATCCCTGAATATAAAATACTCATATTTTAATTTTCTTTGTTCGTTTTAATGTAAAGTCCTGAATAGTTAGTCTTGACTGACGCATCTGTTAAAGAAATGGCTCGGGAAGGGGTTAATAGATGGCGCTAGTTTTTCTTAAATTTATAAAAGTTCCGTTACTTTTCCGACATACTGTCTGATAAGTGAAACATAAATCCGTAAATTTGAAACATAAGTCTAAGGAAGCATAAGTGAAACGTCTGTACATTTGAATTACGAGTAAAATATAGGTTTATCCGTACGAGAAATAAGTTAACATATTTAAACACGAGTTTGCTACATATTACAGCGATGCGTATCGCGATGATTTATATTAACGTTCATCTCAGGCTTATAATTACAAACTTGTAAGTACTTCGATCGTTGTTAGAATAATTTCCGATAATAACTGGTAGTTGGTTCTAAACTAGATGAAGCAATCAGGCAGCATCGTGCTAGACGTTACACAACATTGAACGAGCCTGTGTAAAAACTCGTGCGAAAATATCGAGTGACCATCCTCCTCGAACGCGTGAACCCTTTCAGCCGGAGCTACGCCATGAAATTGCGAAACGAACGACAAAACGATGAGAAACTTTACAGCGATGTTTTATAGCGATTTCTTTCATCGTGCGCCCGCGGATCGCGTGACGAGCTCAAAGCAAACGAGCGTGGCGGTTTCTTTAACGGCCCAGTCGTACGGTTTAATTTTAATTCGCCGAGGGTGATATCACGAGCGCCCGCATGCCTTTCCATTAATCTCAATTACTGGACAATTAAAAGCAGTTAACGAAAGTGGGGTCGTGAACCGGTGGATATGCCCACCTTTGGTAATCGGTTCCCTTCATCTTCTTCGAAAATAACCGACACGCACTGCGTCACCACAATTTATTCGATGTTAAGTATTTTATTAACGCTTGTGCTACTTAACGTTTACGATCAACTTTATAGATCATGGGAAGCTTTCGAGCTTTAGTTTTTTAAGTGGAAGGCATTTTGATTGGACGCTGGCGAGCATGGAGGTCTCGGAGGTCTCAAAAGGCACATATGAAAATTTGAGGAATTTAGAAAAATTGAGAGTTCTAGGTTTAGGGAATTGGAGGTTTGGAAACTTGAAAATTTGAGAACTTGCAACTTTTGGGAGTTGAGGGTTCAAAAATGTGGGGATGAATAAAATTTGGAAATCGAGAAACTTATGTAACCTGAGAATTTGGAAATTTAGGGATTTGTGGAGTTGAAAATATGGGAATATGGATATTTAACAAAATTGAGAATTTAGAAATTTGGGAACTTGGTTGAAATTTGAAAATTTGAAAAATGAATAAATTGTAAAAAATTGAAAATCTTGATGGTTAGAAATTTGAAGGTCTAACAATATGCAAATGTAAAAGTATAGAGATGTAAAAGTTTAAAAAATTTAGAAGACCTCCATCTTTGCGTTCTTGAAAGATCACCCTCCTCCACCCATAAATGTTGAACACCTGACCAACAAAATATTCACCAAAAAAATCATCCAAACACGATGTAAATATTTCCAGTCCATTAGCATTTAAACCACGTATAACCCTGCTTGAAAATAAAGAGGTATTACCGTGTTCCAACATAGCAATCAAGTTTAGCACACAAAGGTGGTTAATTCGAGCCGGTGACCAATCGTCACCGTAGACAATTGGCAGCTATTTAGAAAATGTATTCAAAGTTCATTGGCCAGTTAAATCGAAAAACCCGGAGCTATTAGCACCAACACAGGTTAAATCAAAGCTACCCGAGCCCCATGACCTCGTGTTTCGCCTACGAAACATTGTGGAGTGCAAGGCGGGAACCCGTTGGTGTGGTAGACCATGAGGCGACACGGTGCTGTATTCTATTCACTCGAGATAGGAAAAGACGTGTATCCGTGTGCGGACTGTATACAACGTCCGTAGGAAACAGCTGAGACCGTAGAAGACGTGTGTTCCTTCGTATGATACATCTACGACGAAATTAATGCCCCAGGATTCCCGGTTCCAAGGACACGGAGGCTTGTAGGATTGGAGGACGAAACAGTGTATCGCAACGGTGCCACCAACGTATCCTTGCATTCCGCCGATCGGCTGCGATACGATAAATTTTCCGAGACTATGCGAGCCTCCATGTCGGGAAATACTGTTCCCTTTTAAGCTATTTCGCCTTATCTCACGGATGCGAAGGATACGGTTTTAATTGCGGGCCGTCGATTTACTGGACTGCTGCCTGGACCGCGTTGTTCAAATATTTTAACCAGGTGCGGGTTGTGAACTACTATCGCGGTATGCATTTTTCGCGTGATACATGCAATTGTGAAATTAATACTGAATCTTATTACAGGTCTTTGAGGCAGTTTTTAGCACAGTATTATACACTTTGTATATAATCAGACTTTTTATAATCTTTTTATAAACAGACTGTATGTTTAAGTGTATCTATGACTGAAGGTGTTGTCATTTAAAGTAGTCATGTATACATGTGTGTTCATGTTTAAAGAAAGTTCTTATGCAATGTTTAGTAACTTGTTGATACACCCTGTTTACAACGCTTATATATTGTAAATTATGTGCAAATACAGAATTTCCTTCCGTGGTCCATTAACTGTTGGTTTGGAAAGTCTGACATGACTTCAAATAGGAATATCTCTTGAACAACATAATTCATTGTTCCCGACAAGTGTTCTATGGTAAACTTACAGAAATATCAATAGCAAACAGATGACATCTCAATCGATTGTCTTATTTGTTCAAACACGGGGTGCAAATGTCAAGTAAAGATCGGATTGTGTGGAGTCGGAGGTTCGTCAATCTCCGGGCATTCCATTGCTGGAACGTCAAATACTTCAGAGGGTAAGTACCGTGTTCGACTGAAAGCATGCGTATCGATTACCGATACATTATTGATATTTTATTGATATTTAACGTTATATCCACATTATACAGGTACCGTTAAAGGCAGGGATTAAACTACGATAAAATGCATAACTTCACTTATTTCAACTTTTAATTTGATACATAGTTTTGTAGTTTATGTGTGCTAGATCAGGTTAGATTAAAGTAAACTAAGTTAAACTAATATAGTTAAATATCATGGTTTAACGTAGTTTCAGTTAGCTTTCATCATTACAATCTATTAGGTAAAGTTAGATTACCATTATTGAACTTAGGTTAGGGTTCTGTTAAGCTAGATGTAGTCAACTTAAGAATATATTAGGTTACGTTAGATGAAGTTAGGTTAGGTTTAGATTACTATTAATCTCAAATTAGGTTAAGATACGTGAACTTAGGTCATGGTTATATTTGGTCACGTTCACGCTTCCACGTATTTGATAAAGGTTTAGTCAGATTTGTATACGTAAGGTCAGGCCGTGTTTTATCATTCATTACTCTTATTTGAACAGTATAATTTAACTGTCAAGTGCAGCTAAAAATAGTGAAAATTCATTGTAAATTCTACGTCGGTCACTTTTTTACCTCGACGTTATCTCGCCGATATCACTGATATATCAAATTATCGAGAACGTTTGACATTATCGACACTTATCGAGCCGATTATCAACATTAGCAGCTTCAAACAGATCACACATCTGTTTCTCCGCAACGAAAGTGTATTTTCATGAAAACGTTTCTCCGATCACCCACGCCCGGCACGCAGTAAATGTAGCTGTGTATCGTACGCGTTCACGCGGGTGCTTATGCGTGCACAACGGAACAACCATGAGCGATTGCGAGGAGGGACGCCGTATGCACACGTATCGCATTGACGAGTTCCCGCCCGAGTCGGCGGTTGGTCGCTTTGGCAGCTCCTCGTCTCTCCCAGGTAGCGTGAGAGAATCGGAGAGAGAGCAAAACGGATGAAGAAAGGAACGGGCGGATAAGAGCGCAGATAAGGGAGCGTGGGAGAGAGATAGGTCGCGAGAGGAAAAAATGCGAAAGGGAGAGAAACAGGAACCGGCCGAAGAAGCGGCGGAAAGAAACCGTTGTTACAAAACGATCGAAGACATCGGTTAAAAACCGAGAAATACAGTAACACGAGGGAGGAGGAAGGGGTTGACGAAGGGGCTAAGAAAAGCACTGGGGGAAAAAAGAGAAACGAGCGGGAAGAGTAAAAAGCAGGAAAGAGGAGGAACGGTAGAAAAGGGACGGAGAAAACGCGTGGAGAAGGAAGAACATAGGGGGACGATTAAAGGACAGAGAGAGAAAGAGAGAAGGGTAGAGCGGTCGTATGGTCGGCTTGCCGCCTGCCGCGTAGTAGTAGCGTGCCGAGCGAGCAGTAAGCAGTGCTGAACGTCGTCGTCGTTTCTCAGTGTCGCCGCGGCGCTCGTGCCAGACGGTTGGTTCTCTCAAAGTAGTTTATCGTGCAGCGTGTAGCGTCGTTTCGAACGTGTTCGTTCCGTGCAAACGCTTCGGACTAAATTGGATTAAACAGACGCGCTGGATCCTCCGACTTCTGGGGCCTCGCGATCGATGCTAGGCCGAGCGGAATCTTTCGCGCGAGATTCTGTTCAGCGAGGATAACAGCGACGTGATTTAAAACGTTTCACGTGTAAACGTTGTTACCAGTGTACTTGTAAAATCGGTACGCGAGTGCGCGAATTAACGTCGAGCCATTTGCGCGAGTTTGAAAAGTGTAACGCCACGTGCAACACCGGCGCCATCTCAGGTTCAATTTCGAATTTCGCGCGACGCGGTGTACCGCGACAGTTCGTGAATCAACGTGACGCGGCTTTTTTCTTCGGTGAAAAATCGTGGTTATTTGGTGGTTCTGTTCGTGGCCGTGGAACACACGGTGGGTGGCAACTTGTGGCGTGTTTCGAGCCGCGTTTGTACAAGTGGAGCTAACCTTGCTGACTGAACACGTGGATGCATGCCGCACTCTCGTCGGTGCCGCGCTTCTGACTGGCAGAGCTGTCTGCACGAAAATTCCAGGTAAACTTCACTTCTTCAAACTCGTGCATTTTCATTTGTTTCAAATTCGACATTTTTCATGAACGGTAATGTTTATTTGAGCTTCTCGTGACAAGTGACACTTTGACCGAGCATGCGCGTAATTCGTCTTCAAATTTAAAAGCCCGCGCACGTGAGCGCTTATCGACGTTCAAAGCACACCATGGTTCTGTACCTAATCAGAGTTATCTCGAAACTTAATCATTGATCACAGATCATGTTCTGTCTCACCATTCATCATCAGTGACCGGGTTTTAAAATAACCTTGATTAGGCTTTAAAAGATAAGTGCAGCTCAGGAAGAGACCATAACAAAAAGACAGGAAAGAAAATGTATCACAAATATTTAATAATTTACCTGAAAGGCAAATCAAAATATTTATGTAAACTTAACTCAGTTACTGACATCTTGTTTTCTATCATGTAGCCAATGTTTAAAAAGAATACACGAAACCAGTTCGTGCACTCAAATTGTGACTGGTTCACTGTTCAATCATAAATAATAAATTAGCTTCAATTTTTCATCTGCATTGTTTGAACAGTTACAAACAATTGACCAGTTACAACAATTGAAGTAATAAATGAACGTCATTTGTTTTGACGTTGATCAGGAGAAATTGAAAGGTGGATAATATTTGTTTATCGTGAGACGCCTTTTATCAAGCTGTTCGAGAGGCTCACGCGTTTTACGTGTGTGCTCGTCGAGCTGTCAAACGTGGTTCTGTTGAGTGTCGAAAGTGACGTTGATAATCTTATTGACCTAACCCAGACCTAACCCAGATTACCAAACGATTTATACGAAGGTTTCGAATAGTTTTTCCTCGATCGCCTTGAAATTATTGCAATTTCAATGTTACGTGATACGTTGCTAGGAATTGTTATCTAGAAATCTAGATAACGATCGCTACACTGTTATCATTTATTCTACTATTATTTGACATTGTCATTACGCGAAAATGACGATAAAATCGGTGTAATAAATTGGTGTGATATGACATGTCTATTAACTACAAAGTTTAAACAGTATCAATGGCTTTTGCTTCTGTGAAAAAAAATGAAAATCATCGGAATATCAATGATTAACGCATCGACCGAACCGATGACTTTCTAAATAATCGTTCTCTTTAATCGGGGTATGAATCATTCAAAATTTCCGTACCGATTGCAACCTTGGATTCTTCGTTGGAACTGATTAGTGAACTATTGACTCTGATTTACTATCTCATCGATAATCAGAAAGCAAATTCAAAATGCACCTTCTACTGTATAATATTTTTCCACGTTCAGAGAAGTGGCATATGTTTTGGATTTACTTGAATCGTGTAATTATCTATATACCTAATGACACGGACTTGTTTTTCAACAAGAGATTTATTTAAACCTTGCTTAATGACTATTAATTAAGTCACATGTTGATACGTAGAACTCGTTCATTAAAAGTCACAATCATGATTGTTTTTATCTTAATAACATTCTACATTCGTATGTGTAAGTTACAGACAATTTTCCTCATTTTTCTTCTTAAAAATTAGATGCATTTAATAACACAATCATTTGAATTTTGAGGGAACTTATTTTTCAAAAATTTGGTCAAACTTCTACAAAGGTGGATATTTAAAAAAACATACAGATTAAGGCAAGATGCAAACAGTCAAGTAAATATTAATATAAAATAAAAATGCAAAATAGTATTTTATGTATGAAGTTTCTTGTTTACCGCACCAAAACAAAATAATTCGAAGAGGGCAGAATTGAAAAGGCTCAGGTAACCCGCATAGCTAAGTCGCTTCTAAACAAGTTGAAGGTAGCCGTAGCTGCGATCACCAACGACAAACGGTAGTAGTGGTCCGTAATCGTTCGATTTATCGAACTGGTGATCAGTATCTACCGACGACTCGCTCGGCGAGTATGCATGATTCTCGAAGGCGAAATCCTGATTACGATTCTGCTCAATGTTGCAATGACATCATCGAGGATCATCATCCTCCTGGCATTCCCAGCCGATTAAATCTGCACGCGTTAATTTTGATCCTCCATTTCGCGCGTAAACAATCCTCCTTCTGTTCGAACGTGCTCCGACACGTTAATTCGCGTTTGATCGTACCAATTATCACTGGGAACTTATTCCACTTGCGCAGCTGTTCGAGGATTATTCCAAGAATTTACTTTTATTCAGGAATTTTAATGCAATTTTATCTTTCAAAATTTTTGTTCAGAGTATCTGAAATGAAGTTTTTGAATGATGTAATTGTTTTAAATTTATTGGTTTACAAAATTGACGTTTGGAGTACAGATTGTTCAGTGTCTTTAGAAACTTGAAGTTGTAATTGTTTGAAATTTATTGTTTTAAAATAATATGACACTTAGACTGAACATTGTTCCATGTCTTTAGAAACGTGAAGTTGTACTTGTTTTTAAAAAATATGACATTTAGACTAAAGATTATTCAGTGTCCTTAGAATCGTAAAGCTGTAATTTTTTAAATTTATTGTTTTAAAAAAACATGACATTTAGACTAAAGATTGTTCAGTGTCTTTAGAAACGTGAAATTGACATAACCTAATATCAAAATTCAATTTACTTTTCGTTGTTTAATATAAAATATTTTGTAGCATACACTTGCATGTGCACGTCATAAGATTCCCCTAATCGTTCATAAAAATTGTAAAATAATTTTCTAAATCATTTCCGTGAAATACTTCTCTTCCTCGATAAAATATAATTCATAAAATGGCAGTACCGCCATTACTGAAGACTGTTAGCTGTTTTGCAGCAAATAACTTAGCAAATACTTCTATCTAAACCAACAAAAAAACGCAAATAATTCCACAGCTTAACTATTAAAAATCGAAACTATTGGTATCACTTTCCGTGTCATTTATCGCTATTTATCGCGATCGATTAAGCTCTCGATACAAAACTAGATTAAGCTCTCCACATCGATTCCGGTATCACAACTGTAACATTGTTTCAATGTCCCTAACAGTATATTCCTCGCATGATCTCAGTAAGAATTACCATAATATTTGAACGACTACAACACTGAAATGTCCACAGTCCGCGACAATAGAATCTTTCGAGGCGGGAGAGCAAGTTATTTTCTGCGAGTCGAATCACACGCGATGCCGATGAGCAAATTCTGCGAACGTGCTTTGCTTTTAATCGACGCTAGACCGCGTCGTTGGTTGTTTCGTCATGGCACACTCTGCAGAATCTATTGTTGTGGTGCAGAAGAAGGGACTGCCTTGAAATTGAAATTGCGAAACTATACCTAGTTGAAGCTTTTCGCGATTCGAGGCCCATGGGACGTTTCTTGGAATACCGGGGTAACACGGTCAGAATTTCTTGGTCAAAGGGACGAATGGCAATGTTGTTTTCTACGAAACCTTCGGCTTGTTCTTTTTTGAACGAATAATCTTGCATGCTTTGGGATATTATAGTTACTGTCAGGTGAATTTCTACGAATTATGGGACAATTCTGCTTTGTGGACACAAATCAGAATGTGGACACCTTTGGATACAAATGTGCAAGTCTATGCAAAGTTTGTTCTTTATAGGAAATTTTAGAGCCTTTTTTATTTAGATGGATTGTTTAGACTTTATATAAGAAGTTATTGAAATACAATATGAAATCAAGTGTTGTAGATATTATTTCTGAAAATTAAGTTATTCCAAAAGATTTTAAGTTAGTTCAGAAGATTTTCTTCTCTGTTAGATGCTTCAAAATTATGTCTCAAAACTTTGTTATGTAGAAAGAATAAGAAATTAATTTCTTAAAACACAATATATTTTTGAAAATATATTTTCCTAAACAATATCTAATAATCGAAATCCATAGTAACTACATTCAACATAATTTAGAGTTTGAAAGTGAAGTAGAGAATTGAACAACTATAACCGAGAAAAAAACGTGACAAGGAAGTACAGATACATTTGATCACAACCTAATCGTAGAAACCTTCTGAAGACGTTTCGCAAGATAGACTCGAGGCGATTATAAATAAGAGCGCACAGACGAAGGATTTATCTTTGTTATATAGTCAGTCATTTAGTACTCTCAGACACGACATAATATAATCGAGTAGATAAAGTGAACTACAAACTATAAGTAAACGAGAAATATTATAAAATTATCGAAACTTGGGTAACTAGTTTAGTTACATAGAATTGCAATTTAGCTAATTGTTAGCAAATTGTTGTCCCTGTACATTTATAATATTTAAATTCCTACGCTTTTTTGCTACATTTGCAAATTTGTAGGATTTCAAAGCGACTGATTTCTGAATTGAAGTTTGTAAATGTTTTTTTTGTAATTTTCAAGTTTTCATGTTCTGACATTTTTAAAACTTCTGACATTACAAGTTACGATATTAAATATTTTAAATTTTTGGATTTGTAAATTTACAAGTATTAAATGTCGCAATTGTCAAGCTCTCAAATTTACAAATTCCAAATCCTTTAATTATAGTACTGTAGAATTTTCAAATTCCTAAAACCCAAAATTCTCATCTTCATAAAGTAACACATTTCCAAATTCTCACATCCCCAAATTACCATATCACTAAATTAGCTCATTCTCAAATTTTTATATTCCAAACTTCTGACATTCTCAAATTCTTATATTCCAAAATTTTTGCATCCCCAATTTCTCACATCCCCAAATTCCCACATCCTCAAATTCCTACCTTCCCAAATTCTCACATCTCCAAATTCCTACATTCTCAAATTCTCACACCCCCAAATTCCCACATCCCCAAATTCTCACATCCCCAAATTCCCATATTCCCAAATTCTCACATTCCCAAATTCTCACATCCCCAAATTCCCATATTCCCAAATTCTCACATCCCCAATTCCCACATCCCCAAATCACCATATTCCCAAATCCTCACCCCTTCAAATCCCCACAATATTCAAATACCTAAATTCCCAAACTCCTGCACTTCTAAATCTCCAAATCAAACCCAAACATTTTCAACTTCC